CAAGATCAAAGACTTGGAACACTGGAGTAGATATTGCCTTGACGATGCCGCTAGTCCGCCGCTTCGCCACGGCATTGCTGCCTTGTACCCTTCAATGTGCCACTCACTTGGCCTCTCTCTCTCTCTCTGTCTCCACCTTGAATAATCAACCCAAACCTCTCCACTATCGTCAATACGTCGCCCATCCCAGGCGTTCTACTTCGTCCAAGTCCAGAGCACTTTCGACCGCACGTACGCCCGAGACAGCAATCTTACCTTCCAATACGTGAGCTATTTGAGCCTCAGTGTACGTACCAATCCTAAAATAAATTGTCCGCAAGTGCTAACCAGTTGCACAAGACGACATCCAGAAGCCGACCCTCGTCTAGCTCTGCGCGCTCCCATATATCCAAACTATTATCTTGAGCCCCGACTACATTCAAGAAGGCCCACTGCGCCTTCTCTGGGCAGCAGAAGCAAGGCAGACAAACCTCATCTATAAATTTGGCGTCGACGTCGGCGTTACTGCGAGTGGTGGTCGTGTGTGGGCCCACCTCGATATCCGTCTAGACCTGGCTACCTGGGATGACCCCCAACGCGCTTTCATTATCTTCCAAATCCAGAACGACACACACAGGACTGACGGCTTAGCTGGTTTTGACGAGGTCGCTCAGTGGGAACATCCGCTTGATGAGTGTGAGGACGATGTCGCCCGCTGGGTTTATATCTATGATGCCCTGGTGGAGGAGGCCAAATTCCCCGTCTACAACTAATAGATAGACAAGTATTATGGACAGCAAGTATAATGTCAAAGGACAATGACTACTTCCCAGGTGTTTACAGTAGACAGACGGGTGTCATAGACAGATGCAAGTTCAATGTTAATGTATAACGACTACTCTTTACACTTTTTTCCCCTGCTCCCGTGTGATAGCTCTATCAACTCCACTAATATCGCACGTACGGCATCTTAGATAACTGTATCGCTGTCGCAGCCGTCGGTTGCACCTAGGGTGTTATTTGCATTTATTTCCCTCGTTGTCGGATCACAGATATCAACGATATCTGAGCCACGCGATCGGCCGCACTGATCTCGGTCACGCGAGCAGGCGCACTGATCGCGGCGTCCGAGCAGCGCTCAGACCAGACCTCCTAACATACATCTAGCTCTTCCATAGTTCTCTTTCGCAAGACAATCAATCAGAAACCATCACCACACAGAATGCATTCCTAGCACTTAGTGCAAAGCCAACCAACACTCGTACATAGGCAATTAATAAAATCACTGATCCTTGAGGATAGGGTTCAACATGTGGCAAGTCCGTCGCGACACTCAACTTCAACAGGCACCCACGCCGCCAATATCGCACGTACAGTATTTTTGAAGATGGCGCTGTTGTCGTAACGACTAGTTGTACCTTGGACATGAAGTGCATCAAGTAGGTTTAGCAGTAGAGGCAGCTTTCCAGCTGGGCGCGGTGGCTCTCCACCACCTGCAGAACCGGCGGCAACGGTCGCCATAGTCGAGGGAAGGGAAATGCGCTATTACTGTAGCAGACAGACGAGCAGCAATAAAAGAGCGTGTTTCACTCCAATTCAAAGTCAACACTGTTTGAGTGTCTTTGCTGGTCCACATCCAGTGGTTTCCAGAAACGACCCCCAGGTCTAGTCCTCGGTTACTATCAGACAGCCGAAGCTTTAGAATAGTATCTTGCTAAAATCCATACATTCCCGTATGAAAGAAGCAACAGGGCCCCCAAATAACCACCCCATCAAAGGCACTCAGATTATTTGAAGTAACCACCTTTCGCAGACGGGGTGGATTTAGTGGAACAGTTTCACAGCCGCATGGCTGATCCAGTGAAGCGTAAGTGCCAACCCAACGTAGCGCGGCATCTTCTTACGAAGCAGTGAGCATACTACGTTGGGGTGGGCTTAGTGGCATGATCTATCAGTTGATGCTGACAGTGCCGTAAAAGTATAAGTTTGTCGATGTCTACCGATGTAGACGTTCGCCACGGAGGCGTTCGAGGTATTCGGTTCGTATTCGTATTCAGGTATCCAGTAGTCGTATCCAGAGGCAACGGGGTAATCGGCCCAGTGTCAGCAACAGATTGATCAGGTCTTTTGCTAAAAAAAAAGAAGAGAAACAGCGAGAAGAGGAACAGCAAGACAGATAGCAAAAAGAGAAATAGCATCACGTCAATATAAAGGGCACCACACAACAACAAACCAAAACCTCATACGCGACAACGTCTCCCAATTCGACAGACCCGCTACCGCATAGATACACACCCTGCAAGCAGGTATGACAGGCAAAGACTACATGGTCACCTGCGCGTTGGCCCTTGATAAATTGGGACAAGAAGGTAGAGTAGACCATGAAGGAGCTTCGCATCAGTGTACGAAGTAACCCATGTCGCCATAGCTGTGCTGTCGTCGTCGGTCGTCATCGTCTCGCGTCTCGTTCTCGAGTGTCGTCGTGGCCATGGATACGATCCATGGACTTTTGCCTTTGAACAGGGAGGCAAGCCTGTGCTCAGGGAGGTCTTGAAGGCAAACGTCGTTGCGGTTGACTATCCAAAAAAAGTATTGGAGTTGAGTGTCAAAGATTTGGAGCGGAGGCGGGGCATGATCTCATTATATAGTGTCGCAGCAGCTGGTTGCGCGATAATGTTTTTGCGAGTGAAATGCCACGTATTACCCAATTAGGCAATTAATGAAAGCGAGTATCGTGAAAGCAAGTCTGAGTATCTACGTGGAGTGTTGCGCAGCCAATAGCGGGGCATTGCGGGGTATTGCGGAGCATGTCGGCGGTCGGAGTTTTGGTGTTCGTGGATTTTGATGTTCCTCACGTGATCTGCTTACATGAAATTTTACATTTTATTGGAACAAGGTCTCCTCTGGTGGTATGACTACCATAGGCGACCGAGTAGAGGTACGAAAGGTAACAACGTATTAGATTGAACTACACTTAGAGCTATTGTTCTCTCTACTTATTGTTATGATGATCTTAGGACGTACATGACAGATCATCATTCAGCGTCGGTCCTTCTGCTCGGGCTTACTCCACGAGCCTCACCCCGCCGACCTGGACTGAACCTAACATATTCTTAACAGTATAGGCAATTAGCTGAAAAGGGGGCACATTTACCCTGTTCGAGCGAGTGGATTAGGATTTCCTATCACGCCGGATCCCTATGTCGATCAAAGTGCTGCAAATGAGTTAGATCAACAGCTGGTTAAGTGTACTGAGGCTGATTTTGGTTAGTAGATAGATACGTTATAAAATCCAACTGGTCTAATCGGTTTAACCGGTTCGACCGGTCGGTTGTTTCGGTCGGTAAATTCAACCGGTTAATCGGTTTGCCCATGTATGCAAGCACATCGGGGACCACATAAACAAGCAAGTTGTTGGTAGGCCTTGTACGATCGTACGGGTAAATAATAACAACGAGGTTCTTCTGGTGACTGGTATTGGTATTCGCATTGTCTACGAACATAGCTGCTACGAAGGTACACCTAAGCTCTGCGCAAGGTGGGCCGAAGTCGGGCCGAAGTGTCAAGCAGCCGACGTCTCTACCGATACTCACGATCCGACAGTTACACGACCGCCTCACTTTAACTAACTGTCACAAGAGGCAACGAGCAGGGACATCAAACTTGCTTCAGAAGCTCGATTGGATATGCTAGGTACGATACTTAGGTGTGGTACAAGAGGATAGCTGTACGCAGAGCGAGCTGAAGATATACAAAGTGAGGCACGTGCGCATAAGCGAGTGCGGCACGTGCAGGTGTCAGGGGGTACGAGAGGATACCGTGACACTAACAGTAAATAATAACTCATTCAATCAGCTTCTTTTAGATCAGCACTATGTGCGGGCCGTGCTATCTAAGATGGGCGATCTAGTGCTGCGCACCGTAGCGTGGGCTGCATTGTGTCCAGCCGTCTGAGGCGGGATCAGGTTCCCGGTCACTTTAAGTCTCAGCTTTTAGCCCGTTTATCAACAACGTACTCAAGCCAGTTTCCCTCTCGATTTCATCCTTGAACGTATGTACGTACATACTCCTCGCAAGGAAGCAACACAGTCTATCTGAGCCTGGACCCGCTGTGCTCTTTGCTGAGACTTGGGAAAATATGCAAGTACGCAAGTGGGAACATACAGCTCGTACGTCGCACAACGCGTACACTTGAACAGGTATATGTGCGCGGCTGGCGAATCAGATGAACAGATCAGTCTATCATCTGACATCAACCCCGCAAAAATAGACCCACCACTTCCCCCTTCGTTGACAGATGCGGGGTAGGTTGAGCTCGAGAAACATAACATACTAACTTTCATACTGTTAGATGCGAGAATTTTCAGATGTGTAGAATATGATATTTGGCGAGTGACCCAACTTGACTACAGAAATCTTACGCTAATATAGATCAAGTTTACAACACTGCCTAACTTGCTATACCTACCTTTAGTCTTCCGCTTACTATTCGTTGAAATTACCTTATCTTATGCGGAGATCGAAATGGCGGACGCAGCAGGAAGAATCAGCACATTCCAGGTTCGCTGCCCTTGCGGTAAAAGTTTCGAGAACGTGGAGACGTATTTAGGGCATAAACGGGTCTGCGGAACCCATCAGAAGGGAGAGAATGTCATCTCTATGGCTCTAAGCTCCAATCGAAGGGCCGCCGCGATTCCAGCTAGAGCTTCAATTCCAGCTTCAACGCCCAGGCCTGTGGCCTCTGTAGCCTGCTGGTGTGGTAGCACGTTCAAAAATCACGATGAACTTCAAAGACATGGATGCCGCTGTGCAGGTTATAAGTAACGGATGGATGCGTGTTCGACTACATTGGATTTGATTGAGGACCCAGAATTAAATTCGGGCGCGGATTCGGTATTAGCGGCAGGGAAGCGTCCCATTCCATCTTGTGAAGCAATAGCGCAAAAAATACTGTGCCCTTGTGGACAGAACTTTACCAACGAGAAGAAGCTGAGAAATCATTTGCGGTACTCGAAGACTCATCAGGCAGGAAAGCCTATATTCGGGTCTACGCCCAAAGGCACAACGCCGGTCTCAGTGCCATTCACAGCTCCACATTCACCTCCGACTTCGATTCCCCCAGCTTTCGGGCCAGTACCAGGCACTATCACATCTTCAGTGCTCTCACTACACAAGCGCGACTCTTTATACCACAGGCGACAAGCCGACAAGTCTCTTACTCAAAACCAACAACAAGACAGCTCCTTAGTCTCTTCCTTCGCTTTTATGAAATTGGAGCCCGTGTTGACGCAGATCGGGCCTTCAGTAGCTAGGTTTGCCTGTGTGTACGGCCGTACATTCACCAGTCAGGAAGCCCTCGAAAAGCATGAAGTGGAGAAGAGACGACTTGCGTGGCCGGAAGGAGAAAGGAGAGAGAAGATATTTAAGACGCCTCGACCGCAGTATCAAGAGGATGAGAACTTGCGAGATATCTGCGCGGCCCTCGCACGGCAGAATTATGGTGGAGAATAGAGGGAAAATAAGTCCGAATAGGCATAGGTCCACAGATGGTATACACCTATGGGGCTGCACAGTCTCTCTACTAGGCTATTTCTGCGGCCGCATACGGCTTCTTCCAGAGGCCATGAGCAGAAGGCTAACCAGTAATCAGATAGAGCGTGAACAAGGTCAAGGTCAGGCCTCAGCCGCCAGGCTCTAGCGCGCTGCACAAGGTGCAGAGAGACTGGGCACAACTCACGTACTTGCAAGAAGATAGTGTAGGTACTGTTTAATCTACAACAGCAATATTTATACAGTGCTCTAAAAGGTAGTTGAGTTGTACGCTTGTGAAGGTGCAGAAAGTTGGTGGGGTCCAATTATTGGCTAGGTAGAACTTGGTGGCGTTCGTGTAGTCCACGCAGTTCAATAGTTACCCGTTTTCTTTCTCGCAAAAAAATAGAAAGACTATCTTCTCCACGTTTAGACAACCCTGTATTGCACACTCTCTTCCTCTTCCTGTTCGCCGAGATGGTACCTAGTATAGGTCGTGGCTTGATGAACTCTGCCCGCTCGAAATCAACCACCATCACTCGGCCCGTCTCCTCATTCCACAACAGGTTTCGAGGCATAAGGTCTTTATGCAAGATACTAAGGTTGTGAATAGCTTGGGCTGAGCAGTCGACTTGTTGGGTAACGGAAAGCCGGTTCTTGGCGGTGAGGTGTTGGGCGATCCGCTTCCCTCCAAAACTAAGAAACATCATGTGGACAAGCTCACAAATACCCTCGTAGAAATAGGGGGTTTCCAGGTCTATGTTGCCTAGATGAACTGGTACATGTATACCCTGGATCGGACGGAGGAGGTCATAAACGGTAGCTTCATGATGAAGACGATGGACGAAGTCAATGGGAGTGCACTTGGCTGCTACCATGTACCCGTGCGATTTCAGCCGAACTTGGAATAAGACGCCGCAAGCGCCAGGCAGACTCACAGGCTTGCAGTCAGTATCTAAGTCGTTTGAGAGCTGTCGGCGTATAAGAGTGAGGAAGGTCGGTGAATCGATCTGATGATGGCTTTCCCCATGATCTCGCACATTTGGGCACGACATATCAAGTGGACCCCCTCGGACTAACCCTAGTATGCAGTTTTGAGTGCAATACTGTCCACTTTGTCCTCTATGGGAACTCCGACTCGGCGAAGAGCTGCTGGTAGCGGCGTGTGTGCGAGGCTGGCGCGAGGGTGAAGGTTGCCGCCGGCTTGGAGTATCGGAGTCGTGTTCTTCGTCGCTAGCTGCGTGCTGATCCTGCGGTCGCGCGCAGCTTGAAGAGCTAATTGGGGTATGCCTCCGCCGGAGCTGGATAGGTGACATGCGAAGGAACTCATTGTGGCGAGGTGGACGGTACTCCGATGATGGCGCATCTTCTACATGGATAGTATCTAGCAGGTCTTCATACGTAACCTCCCAGCCATTGAGTTGAGAGGCGGCGTCGGCACGCCATTTGTGGCTACGGGGCGGTGTCTGCAGCGCCTGAAGCGTGAAAGCTAGCATCTGAGCAACAGCTGTTAGATGCAGGCGATTTGTTCCGTCTAAGTCCGATGTCCATCCTGTGGTGTCCCCGACGTCCCCTTTCGGAACGGAGAGGAAGTACTGAGCCGTTCTAGGATCGTCAGGAATGCGTAGGAAGACGAAAGCTTCGCCAGTGCACACGCAACCATACTCCACCCCAAGCTTGACCATATAAGAAAATGCTTGTGTGATGACTGCAGCCATCAGCCGGCGAAAGTGGTCGCGAGGAGTATCCGTTTCGCGACATAGAATCACCTCCTCGAGTTCCATATCCCCCAAACCCTCGTTTATATACCCGAGTGGCAGCTTGTGCGGAGGTTTGTATTCCGTGATAAAGGCCGCTACGCGAGTCTCTGTATTCTGAGTGCTGGTGTTGTAGACGCAGAACTGATCGGCTCGAGGACGGGACGATCGTGCTGTTTGGGCGCGAGGTGCGTCCACGGAGTTGTCTTGGGCCTGGGCCTTGGCCTGTAGGCGTGGTGACCGTCGTCGCTGAGTCCCGGAGATGGTCATGGAACTAATGCTCTCTAGTTGCGTTTCCGGGCTGAGGGTGTTGGCGTGATTCTCAAACTGTATCGAACCCTTGAGTCCAAACTCCTGTCGTAGTATTTGTTGGTCGTATAATCGTTCGATAATAGACGTTACAGGGTCGTCTACAGTGGTACGTTGGAAGAGATGCAAATCTAGCTCAGAACTCATCATCTTCCGTCGGATAGCTTCACCAGACTCTTTCAACGTATGCAGCGAGGTGAAGTGTCGCTCTAACGCGAAGTCAGACCCCATAAGTTTGTCCCAAATCGCTGCTTGTTGTGCTGGGAAATCCTTCCATAGAAGGAGCTTCTCAGGTCGAAGCTTGTTATTCGCATTCGCAGGGTCGCCCCGCGTCGACAAGGTCGCATCGGTCTGGACGGTGAGACCGGAGTATAGATTATCGTGACAGGCGTCGAGAAACTCTGGAAGAGTCGTCTTGCGAGTTTTCTCTTCGGCCTCATTCTTCGCCTGCTCTGCCTCATTCTTCGCCTGCTCTGCCTCATTCTTCGCCTGCTCTGCCTCATTCTTCGCCTGCTCCGCGGCTTTGCGTCTGCATTGTTCTTCGAGGAACAGCGTTTTGTAATCAGGCGACTGGTCAGCCATGGCGACAATGATAGGAGATACTCGGCAGGGCTCGTTGACGGCAGCTATCTCGGCGTATTCCAGGGAGATAGTAGATGTTGAACTAGCAGATTAACACTAGCTGAAAGATTTTGGGACAGATGCTGTTCATGATAGGTAGGCGTGAAGGCTCAGGCTCAGCTTGTTTGTTTTGGTTCTGCTAATCTTGGCAGTTCTTGGAGCTCGGTCCAGGTGTCGCGCAGTTACCGTAGCGCGACGCACCGACGTCAACATGCGCCCGTTCTTGTAAGTAGATGAGTATTCCGCACCTGGACTCACCACCCATCTCTTCATAACAATCCCACTGCTACAGTACATCAATCCCCGACCAGTATCCCCACATCTCTTCTGGCACGGCATTGCCTAAGCGCTGTTGCTGCCCATTTAGCGAGTGGGTGCTGTGCAGGGGAATGCCATTGGTCGAATGCATAACCGGCTTGTAGGCTTCTTTTGTCCCTGCTATAGGCCGCATAAGTAAGCTCGCTCCATCGCTGCCGACTAACATGTCCGCACTCGGAACATGCAGATACATGCACGCACCTGCGCCGCGCAGCTTACTCACATTGGCTAGTGCTGCAGCTGCAGGAGGTTTTCCCAGGCACGACTCGAGAAGTCAAAGGTAAAAAGGTAGAAAGCGTTGTAAATTAGTCTTTCCTCTCTCTTCCTCCTCCATCGCATTATGGTGCCTCCCTACGGCATTAAACACACCGTTACTCCAAATGGCGACAAACACATGATGTGGCGGTTATGAGGAGAAGTGGACCACGTGTGCCATGTGGCGTTGATCTGGTACTGCTTAGTCTAGGATAACCAGTATCTCTTACTGTTGGTTGCTCTTAGTTTCCAGCCACCGTACGTACGTGGCGAGCACGTGACTACGTGCGTGGCCCGTGCCGTGGGGTGGGATTCAGTTCGTACGCGAGCTGCAGCCCACCTCCTCTAATCAATCATAACCATCTACTTCAACTCGTTGCAACGACCGTTCCTTGATTCAACCTCACCTTTGCCGTATCAACACTTACCTTAGGGCTGCTGAGATTTGTCCCCAAGTTTTTAAGATTTGTCCCCAACCAAAGTACCGAATCGTTTTACATGCACAAAACTCAACGCCAGCAAAGATATAAGTGAATGATTGAACGTAATAACTTACGTTTAGGTCTCGCGCAGCTTTCTTAAGAATTCTGAGCCTCTAATTAGTCCACGTTATGGTTTAATTGCATGTTGAAGTTGGTAGCTTCTCGTCAACTTCAACTCCAGTCAGCTCGCTCCCATCGCTATCAGAATTTACAAAAAGTAGGCAAGAGGTACTTTTAAGTATGCGAGACGTATCTGTGGCTTCAGAGATAAAAATTACACTTGTGATTGTAGTGAATTTGGATTGTGCAGTGCAAAAGTTGCTATTTTCGGTACTTTGGTTGGGGACAAATCTCAAAAACTTGGGGACAAATCACGTCAGCCAAACAAAAACGCACAGACCAGTCCTTATCGATAAGATAACCAAAAACACCAACAATTGACTCTTTCGCTGTTTTCTAGTCTCCCAAATCTATTCCTATCCTAGAGATCTACTCGATAGATCAGTAAGATAGAGAAAAGAGAGTAAGAAGAGTAAAATAGCAAGGCTTTCACTACTTTCACACCGGTACGACTAGAAGAACTGGGTATCCTTCTAGTGTAAAGTAGCAACAAGGGCCCACAGACACACACCTCAAATCGAAAACTGATCAAAACGCGTCGTTTTTCATCGGAATATAGTCGAAACCATCAGAAGAAAAACATTCCAGCTACTCTAAGCCTCCGCAGCCAGCTGGTTGTAAAGCTAGAGCCAGTAGAACGAGATTCTTCAGACGCGTTCAATCTTCCAAAACAAAAACGCACAGACCAGTCCTTATCGATAAGATAACCAAAAACACCAACAATTGACTCTTTCTGTCGGCATACACACGGTGTGTCGCCTAATAAGGCCCAATGTACCGCCTCGATCCTACTTCGGCCCAACTCGGACCCAACGCTATGT